TTCGGAATTCGTGACACGGCTATACGCTTCACATTGCTAGACACTCTATAAGTGGCGACGCGACTTTGGGGTGAGCCGCTACGCGATGCCACTAAGGTCCAAGCCCTAGGTATTGGATTTTGGATCACATTTTAGGAACATTATGTTTAGTGTTGCTCCATCTTGGAGCCTCCTTCCTCAGATAGAGAACCCTAGCCACCTCTTGAGTGACTTGGGAGATCTTGAGCCTTGAGTGGATTGTTAGTAAAGAAAGGAAGTTCTTGGTGTTATTGGTGCTATGTAAAGTCCATTTAAGAGAAGATATAACATTTTACATTGTTTTTGAACCTCTGTAAGTGATCAAGATCCTCACTTTATGTGTTTTCATGATAAGATCTAGGATGTAGAGGTGTTCTTGGTCTTTTTGGTCCCTTATGCTATAAGCTTTTGGAGTTTGAAGAATCCTAGAGCATAATACTTGTCATTCTTGGACTTCTGGAGAATTCTAGGACCTTTTAAGTGCATTTTTTGGATTCATTTAGAGCCATGCAAGGAATCAAGTCATTTTAGTTGAGTTAGGGTAGAGTTTGTGAATTATTGAGCCTTAGCTCCAAATGAGTTGGAAATTGCATCCATTATAATCCTTAGGAGCTTAAGATCAATAGTTTTAAGCATTGGAATTAAGAGAGTAAGATCTTAATGAGAGTTTGTTGTTTAAGCAGAAATTTGCAACGCGACCCTTTGGGTGTCACTACGCGAGTTACAATGGCCAGTTCTGACTGTTTTGTCATTTAGTTTTAGTTACGTAACCATGGAACTAGTCGTGGCATAGTTTGACCAGTTAAACGTTGACTTTTTGATCAATTTAAATTTTGGTCAAACTTTGAAGGATTAAGTTGTAGTCTTGGGTTTGACCTCTAATTGTTATTTAGGTGGTTTGTGATGCCGATTCCTGCAAGTGTATGTACGTAACTGTGATTCTTCAGTTTTTAATTCAAGTGAGTTATCTCACTAAACTATGTGGTACAATATATATCGTATTCATGATAGGACATAGTTGTATAATAAAAGATTGATTGTGCAAGTAGGTTGGTATAGTTTTTTGCATGTCGATTGCTTGATTATATGATATGTTGATATGTTATGCTTTAGGGGTTGATGATGGAACAATAGTAGATCTGTGAACCTAGAATACTCATTGTTGATGATTAAACATGCACCAGAGCTATTAGTCAATGTTGATGATTAGACATACACCATAGTTATTAGTCGCCGCTGATGAATAGAAGGCACTAGAGTCTTTACTCGTCATTGATTAGGTGGATTGACACTAGAGCCGAGAGGCTTTGTTTTGTATGCTTTGTATATAGGGAAGGTTCTTTTGAGGACAATAGTTAAATTGAGGATGTGAGGACAACTATTATCCATTAGATTAATCAATTAAATGTTATTAATAGCATTAGATATTTTAATTTATAAAATAATTTCATAATGAAATTTAATACTAAAAAATCGAGAGAGGGCTAAAATAGTAAAGTTGCATGGCTAATTGAAAAGACAACTTAGCTGGCTTCTCAATCAATTTCGATCATATCACACGCAGTATAATCCGATCGATTACATTCCAGTATAAATATGCTAGCAGTGTAAAAGGAACCGAGAATGAGAACTCTACGAAGCGCTTCGAGAATGAAGGCAAGTGCGTACTTATTGAAGTTTTCAAACACCGAAAGTACTGCAATCGATCTTGATGAAGATGATTTTGTTAACATTAACTCATGTATGTATTACTTCTAAGTTACAAAACTACAAATTTAGTCCTTGTGGTTTTCAAAAACCTTTGGATGGGGTCCAAAGAGTTTCCAACTTGCATGGAAGGTTCAAAATCAAGGTTTTTCTAGGTTTTTGGTCCCCGATACACTTAAAAAGATGATTTTACCCTTTTCCTTTTATTTTTCTATTTTCTTTATTTATTTTGGTATTTAAATAATTAAAAAAAACTAAAATATCCCTCTCTCTCTCTCTCTCTCTCTCACACACACATACAAACTCTGATACCATTTCTTTCCCCTCTGGTTTGCATCTTACCATGCAAATACTACCCCTCCTCCTTCTTCTTCATTCACGGCCAAGAAAATCCACCGGAGATGGAGCCATTTTTCTGACCATCAAGACAACAACAACCCAAACACCCCCGACTTTGTATCTCCTACCCTACTCCGAGCCCCTGTCACCTTCTCATATATGCCTCTCGTCATTCTCGTCAAGCAGAAAACCGGACACAACAGTAGGAGGCTACTGGAGCAACCTTTTTCACCCACGGCCGCCACTGCTTGTGGTCGTTATTACCCTCCTACCACCATAGTTTTTGACCACCACCAAACTCTCCCATCCTCCTTCGTCTTCCCCGTCGTGTGCTGCCAAATGTAAAAGGGAATGAGGCAGTGGAGCTGTTATCGCTAGCCACCCGTCACTGACCACCACCTCGTTGCTGCCACTATTGTGAACCATCACCACCTCCGAATTCTGCTTCCGTCGATCCTCTCTGTCCAGCAACAACTCTAATTTGAAGGTGATTGCATTCCCCTTCTTATTTGCTTCGTCCGATCGAGACAAGAGACTCACTGTGAATCGCGATTTTTGTTTAAGCAAACCTCCATTTTTGTTCATCAATTTGGGGATATCAAAGATGAAGTCCATGAGATTTTAGAAGACAAAGAGAGAGAGAGAGAGAGAGAGAGAGAGAGAGAGAGAGAGAGAGAGAGAGAGAGAGAGAGAGAGATAGATAGATAGATAGATAGAGAGAGAGAAAGAGAGAGAGAGAGAGAGAGAGAGAGAGAGAGAGAGAGAGAACGGTGGGTGGGTGGGGTGGGGGAAACGTTTTTTCTTTTTTCTTTAGTTTTTTAATTAAAACAACATTAGAATAATTATAAAAATACAAAAAAGAAAATAAAAGGGCATAATCGTCTTTTTAAGTTTTTTTGGACCAAAAACCCAGAAAAACCTTGATTTTGGACCTTCCATGCAAGTTGGAAACTTTTTGGACCCCATCCAAAGGTTTTTGAAAACCACAAGGACCAAATTTGTAGTTTTGTCTACTTCTAAGTTGATTGTGAGATTGGGGTTTTTTTAAACATGACATTTTGTGGGTTTCTTTTTATGTTTACTATGTTATACTTGTAGAAGTAGTATTCTTCGGTAGATTTGAAAGATCTTCACAATAACCGAGCTCCTTGCGGGCAGAGCTTCGACTCGGGAATCGCACTTCTTGGGATCTTCGGGGCCTCGGGACTTGCTTCGGGGCTCAGGAATGATACCGGGGCTTCAGGATATTTCTTGCACGAAAAACGATGCAAAAACAAATGAGCAAAGAAGTCGGTTGCCCACGACACCCTTTTATAGGGGGTTGGAAACCTGTAACATCCGGTTTTCCCAAGTATATTATTCTATTTAATCATTTTGGAGTTTGAGGAGGAACTTGGCGAGTTGGAGCCAAAACTCGCCGAGTAGGGTCGCGGATGTTCATTCGGGTTCACGTCCGGACTCGGCGAGTCCATGCTGTTTAATGAAACCCTAATCCCCCGGGTTTGGAGCCTATTTAAGGGCACTTATAGCCTCCCATTGCGGCTACCAGTCCCTTGAGAGAACCCAAAGTGAGCCAAATCGTTGTGAGGGAGAAGAAGTCACTTTTTGATCCTTGAACCCTTGGTTTAGCAAGAAGAAGGTGACAAGAACAAAGAGGAGGTGCGATTCAAGCAGTTCCAGAGTTCAGAGACATCATTTTGAGGTAATGGTTCGAACCTCCTTCAGTTTTGGTGTTGATCATTAGATTTAGGGTTTTCTAACCCCTTTGGAGAGTGATTATGTGGAGCAAATGGTCCCTCTTCGAGTTTGTGCCTTGGATCTGGACTCAAAGAGGTCCAGAGACCTTGACCCTTGGAGCTTTATGGACTAGTTTGGGGTTATTGTCCTTAGGTTGCCATTTTTGGGACTAAATCTCCTTTTGATTCCTTGTTGTGGTTATACAAGCATCAAGTTTCAAACTTTACGTGACATTCATGCTTGGGGAGGCCATATCTATGGTTTGGGGAAATAGATCTGACCTCAGGAGGTGAGTAGAGTTTGTGCATGGCATGAACTCGCCGAGTTGGTCTTGAGACTCGGCTAGTAGGGTTAGGGTTTCACGTAAATTGCTCAGTGACTAGACTTGCCGAGTTGGGGGATGACTCAGTGAGTCAGGAGGGGGTTAGAGGACTGGAGTTCAAGACGGTACTCCCCGAGTTGTTCTTGAGACTCGGCGAATTGAGTCGGGGTGGCCCCGTGATTCCTATTTAGTATGACACGTCGAGCATAGGGAGGGACTCTACGTACCAAGCGGGACAAAGAGTTAGTGGACATGTGTGTACTCGCCGAGTCAACGGAGTGCACTCGGCGAGTTGGGTGAAAGTTTGACCGTTGACTTTTGTTGACCTTTAGGAGTTTGGTTAGCAATGTCGCCTTTGGGCCAAGAAGGGGGTAAAATGGTCTTTTACCCTTAAGAGGGTGCCAAGAGAGGATTGAGTCTAGTCTCGAGAGTTATGTTCAAGAGAGCATTTGCCTTAGGTGATAGATGGCAGTGAGTTCGAGATGCAAGCGTGAGGATATCTGCTTCATGCTTGCTAGGTGAGTCTTCTCACTATAATTTACCTTGAGTAGGTAACCAGAGTTATGTGACAGAGTATTTGTATGATAGGTATGTTATGTGTTGTACTGCATTATTTCTATGTGATTTATGATGTGCATGTTTACAGAGTTAGAACCGGAAGGTTCCCAGAGTTAGAACCAGAGGGTTCACAAAGTTAGAACCGGAAGGTTCACAGAGTAGGGTCCACGGACCCACAGTGTTATAGCCTCGAGTGGCTAATATGTATTATGTGTGGTATTTTGGGGAACTCACTAAGCTTCGTGCTTACAGTGTTTTGTGTTATGTGTTTCAGGTTTCTCTCAGGATTACGGGACGGCACCGGCTTGATGGTACACACCAGAGAAAGAGTCATGTTTTGAGGATCCTAGTTTATTATGCAAGTGAAAATGGAGTTATGTTTTGTAATTCAATTATGAATGAGATTTTAAGGAAAGTGTTTTTAAGAATTAAATCATTATATTTAAATGAAATTTTTTTTTTGAAATTTACGTTGTTACAAGTTGGTATCAGAGCCTTGGTTTGAGGGATTCGGATGCACCTTCGGGTAAATCTGGACTCAAACTGAGAAAGTAAGAAAAGTTTTCAAAGAAATAATTTTCTAAAGCGAATAAGAGTTCAAAGAGAAAGCGAGAAAGAGCAGTGTGTACGATCAACTAGAGCCCGAACGGTGATTTCCCAAAATACCCTTACTTTTGTGTTATGAGATATTTATGATGCACTTTATGAGATATTATTGCATGCTAGAGGCAGGCTAGGTATTTCATATCTTAGGACTAGAGTGGCCCGATTTGTGATGCCTTAGCCTAGGAATTGTTGTTATATGCGATGTGCTTTTGAGTATGTGATGAGTGAGAATATTTAGTTGGAATCCTTTAGGGGATTTGAGTAGAGGAGTAATCTAGGGGGATACCTAGATGAGTACCGTGGTACTTAGCGAAAGAATAGTTAGAACCCGCAAGGGGAAGAGTTGTAGAGTTCGGTGGTACTTTCGAGGATGAGCAGAGAAAGCGGAGTTATCACCCAAAGTGAGTCCTATGTATTCTTCGATGCTCGAATGCTGCTTGCTTCATGATTTGGGGAACTCTCGATGATGGGGTCAGCTACCAAGCGAATATGACGATATTCAGGAGGTAGATGGCTGACATCATTAAGATCTCTTTAGCAGCTGATGGCAGAGAAGTGTGGGAATCTAGGAAGAGCCTAGGGAGTAACCTTAGCCAGATGAGTGCGCTGGCAGAGTAGAGAATTTCGCTGGGGAGCGAGCACACGTGATGGAATTGGTGAACGCGAAGGTCGAGCAGCTACTTAGGAGCTCCGAGATAGTCCGTGTGGAAAGTATGGGTAAATGTGGCAGGTAGTATGGGCCCGTACTACTGAAAGCAGAGGACCCATACTTGATACAGGGAGTATTCTGAAGGTTCTAATGAGCAGATTGAGGAGTGATGTTATGGTTCGAGTACCATACATTGGAGCAGATGGAAGATTGATGTTATGGTTCTAGTACCATGCATCGGAGCGGATTGAGGAGTGATGTTATGGTTCGAGTACCAAACATCGGAGCGGATTGAGGAGTGATGTTTTGGTTCGAGTACCATACATTGGAGCGGATTGAGGAGTGATGTTATGGTTCGAGTACCATACATCGGAGCGGATCGAGGAGTGAAGTTATGGTTTGAGTACCATACATCGGAGCGGATAGAGGAGTGATGTTATGGTTCGAGTACCATACATTGGAGCAGATGGAGGAGTAATGTTATGGTTCATGTACCATACACCGGAGCATATTGAGAAGAGATGTCATGGGATGAGTACCATGGTTCGTAGTGAATGATGCTCGTGGTTCTCCGGTTATCCGGTCATGATTGATGAAGTAGAGATTGGACGCTATAGGTTTTAGGCCAGCGGGCCATGATTGAGTTCGAAGAGGCGTCCCTTGAGAGGGAGGTTGAGAGCCTTTCAGACTATTTTGGTAAGGAGTTAGAGGGAGGGGAGAATTTCGGTCTGAGTTGAGCAATCAGTCGATAGAGGAGATGTCACCTTCTATGACCTGGGTGTTGCTATTTATGTTCGTGTGCAAAACATGAGAGGCATGATGTTTAAGTTTTGGGTTTGGGGGTAAACCCTGCAGGTTGTCATTGAGGATGATTTTCCATCAGAGTATCAAATAGCATGTGTGCCACGAGGTAGTAATTTACCATGAGCAGATAGTCAGTTGGGACTGAGATAGTCGAGGACCACGTTACACCTATTTGAGTATAGTAGGGCGTATTATAGAGGTATTAGTGGGGAGTCCAGTCGAGTTTATCAGTGCAGTGGTTTTTTCTATCTATGATTGGGTATTGAATATGGGAATGGGTCCCTGTTCTTGGGATGATCCATGTGTTGGAACGTCGGTTGATGAGTCGAGGTGGGGGAGTATGATGATTTCGTGGTCCAGTCTATGAGTTAGTGATGTTATTGGACAGTTGAGTTGTTTGGTATTGGATTGGTACGAGACTTGGAACGACTAGAGGCAGTCGTGACGAGAAGTTCTTGAGGATTTCATCTGAGGTTCAGAGTATATGAGATCGATTGATTTCCTTAAAGGGGATTATCGGGCGTTGCGTAGCACTTTCCAGGGGCAGGTGCATTATTGCTGGTGAAAATAGTTTGTGAGATTGTTGATGTGTCAGATAGTGATGGTTCGGACCCTAAGTGGGGAAGAACCGGGTGGTTTATTGAGAGAACCAAAGATTTGTGCAAGAGCGGTTAGCGGTTGGATATAGAAACCTGCGGCTTGAATTCATGAGATCAGGCTCATTGGTGATCAAGGAAAGGTACAGGGCGAGATAATGCATGTGGTATATGTCTGAGAGAAGGATGGGTGTCTCCACAACGGGTGGTCAATGGTCAGGAATCTGGTGGTGGTCAGAGTCGTTTCAAGTGGAAGACTCGTAATGATGGTATGGGTAGTTGAGAACTTCTGGGTTGAAATATGGGTAGAAGAATGTCGAGTAGCCAACTCCCGGGAATGGGA